CAAGACGATGCAATCCCGGTCGCCAGATATTATTAACATTTTCCTGACAACACCAGCGAAAAAACTTTTATCAATTTTTTTTATTGTGATCCGTGGAAAGCATCTTTTATAGTACACTACCAAAGTGAATGTATCCCCGGCCCCAAAAGTAACAGCAAGCAGGAAACACTGCAAACAATTTATAAATGTATTTTAGTCTTTATTCAATGAGTTTATTACTATTATTTTTTTCTCTTTATTGCAACAAAAAACGTGCTTTTCCTATTCTGCTTATATAATATTGCTCAAATTTTTTAGCAATTCTAGCAGCTGAAAGGCACCTAAGTGCACGACAATGTCAAAATTCATTTAAAAAGAAGAAATTCTAAGTATAACAACTGTAACAACTCACTTTAAAAGACTTCGTGCAGCCTAATTTTTTATACGCGCCCCTCCCAACCACCAGCGCTAATTCTGTGACCAGTTTGTGAATACAATCTGGCTTAGGATATTTAGTAAGGCAGTTTTCGTAAGAGAAAATTAATTCATTTAGCAAATAATGGTGTTGCAAAATCTCTGGTTTGTACACACAAAGCAGCCTTTACCTACGCACCGAAGGTAACACACTTTCCTTGTATAGCAAACTGTGCTAGAACAATTGCGTCGATGAACATGATTCTTATTTTGGCCTGAAATAGAGTAAAACAAAGAGTTGTTTTAAAACATCGTAATATAAGATTCTTGTATGCTAGCTCAGTTGGTTATAATTTTGTTTTCGATATGCCCTTGACACGACACTCGTGGCGCGGCATAGTTAATCTCCCATCATGCAGACATACATTCATAGGACTTGTGGAAGGTTTGCGTTCATGGAAGACTTCTGCCTGAAGTAACCGAAGATTCAAAAGCGAAGCTGGAGTCATATACACTGTACGTAATACCTGTTTTCCAGGACTCTGCTTGCGCTTAAAAGGTTACCTTCTCAGTCTTTACTCAATCAATTGATAGAACCCAAACTTTGCTGTTTCTTTGCTGTTTACTTCTGTTCACTTTTCAGCTAGCATGCAGAACAGACGTTTTTTCCCCGCGTTTTACGGACGAGCGAAGACTAGCCTTCCTCAACCTCGTCCCCAGGGCTTTTCCCTCATTTTTTTGGTGGAAAAGCCCTGGGGACGAGGTTGAGCCTCCCTCGCAGGCGTTTTTAAGGGAAGCTCGTATTTCGTTTCTCCCACAGCTGTATTTTATGTTAAGGTTCGTTCAATTAATAAGTTGTGCTGTTATTTAAGAATTTTTGCAAGTCTAAAAGCAGCAACTTACTTGTTTCAATGTAGCAAAGTACAGCTGTGGGAAGGGACGAAATACGAGCTCCCTAAAGACGGCTGCGTGGCAGGCTAAGCGAAGACAAGCGCAAGGAAAGCCTGCGCCCAGACATCTCCCATTTCCTTTTTTACTTCCGAGTACAAAGGAAATGGAGACGTATACACGCAGGCTAGCCCGAGGTAGGCGTGGAGTACAAGACTCGCGCGACAGGGCGCGGGATCTCTTTCTTTCGAGCCTTCCACCTGTCGCGTGTTTCGCGCTCCACGCTCGCCTTGCGCTTGCCTTCCTATCCGCAAAATCGCCCTTTCTTCAGGCTACTCTTCATTATATTTAATGATTAATTGATTGATTGATGCATTGATTTTTTGATGTTATTGATTGATTGATTGACTGATGGATTGGTTGGTTGAATGATTGATTGAATGACTGAATGATTGATTGATGAATACTTGCCTTTTTGTAGTGATAGGGGTGTGGTAGCAGAATTTGAATCTTGGTTTACGGGTTCTGCTCGATAGTTCAGGAAATTCTGACACATATTTTCCAAGGCGGCACGATGAGGACTAGAAAGGTCATCTGGCACTTCTTTTATCTCCATAGCGGATTTTATCCTCAGCAAAATGGAAAGACTTGTTTTGTTGCGGGCTGCCTAGGAATTTTAAGAATTTGCTTTTCATTTATGCTAGTCTCCAAATGACGAATCTTATTTTACAGTTGTATTTCTTAGCCTTTTTTTTTTTTTCAGCATCAGGCAGCGTGAGAAAAACAGCCGACATTAAGCGACGCCACCACTGGTTTCCCCGCGAAATGACCTCTGAGGAACGAGCGCAGAAATTCCATACTAATGACGCGTAAGAGAATGATGATGCGTCACTGAATAATTCTTCTGATTGGTTGAAGCAAATTTCCCACGCGGTATGACCAATCATACGCAATTCTGCGCTCGTTTCTCAGACGTTAGGTCGCAGTGAAACCGGCAGTGATGGCGTCGCAAAATGTCGGCTGTTATCGCAGGCTAATCAAAAGGCAGTTAGAGTCCATATTACTTACCTTTCTGAAAGAGTCTATCAGTTCTACAGGTCGTGGAAAGTCGCTGTTAAGCTGCGATATGAAACAAACTTTCTTCTCCGGCAAACTGATGATCTCCAAGTTCTATAAATGAAGAGATGAAGAGAATAGGTAAAAGTGTTGACATCTTGTGTAAAAAGGCACGTTGATGTACCGTGTTTTAACATTTCACAGGGACGAAATAGAGCTAACGTAGGGCACTAGAGAATCGCCCAAGGGCTGCCGGTAGGGCTTTCCACAACTTGCTCGAGATTTTCCAAAGAGTTTCCCGTAATTTCTTAAAAAGTTGCTCAAAAAATAATCAAAAGTTTCTCGAAAAACGAAAATTTTTTGGTCTGATACTAAAATTGCAAATTGACGAAAAAATTAAGATTTCTAAGCATTTTCGGTTTGTGCAATTTTGCGTCGTAACCAGCGTTGCTAAATAACTTTGTCCTCAACTAGAACCAAAGAATGTAATGAGCCAATAATATTGTTGAATGACCTTCTTCACCCGAGACACTCACGTCAGTCGAGTGTGAATCTTTGTCCCTAATTTGAATTTTCTCTGAAAACCGCTGACCTAGCAGCCTGGCTACTGAATCTTGCGCCTAGGATCTGCCCCAGGGGGGAGAGGAGTTGGCTCCTCTTTTCACAGGAAATTCATAAATTGTCAACTAATACGTTATGAAATATGGAAGAAAGGCCATTTTCAGCACTAAGAGCCTCTCCGATATCTCAGAATTTGAAGATAACTAGAGAAATTGCTCAGAATGCAAAAAGTTGCGAAAAAAGTTGCTCAAAATACGAGAAGTTGCCAAAAAGTTGCCAAGCAACTTGTGGAAAGCACTTACCTAACGTGGGAACAAGGAGCATTAAAACAGTATAAACTAAAGTTTAAGTTATTTCCTTCAGTTTTCCAGGCCGGCAAATAAAACACGTAGCCAGTGGCTTAGCTGAATATCATACACTGACATATTCTTAGTGCATACGAAGTGCATACTGAGTTTGATCATTGTAGAAAAGAAAGAATGACGTTAGCACTGAGAGAGCGAAGTTTACCTTGCGAAAATCGTGGACAACATTGGCTTCATCTGCGCCTTCTCGTAAGGGTACGTAAAAAGTCACTGTCTGTTCAGCAACATTAATAGTGACATTCTGATCAAACACTCCGCCGTCTTTGATCATTCATACAGAGAATGTTTCTGATATTGCCTGAAAAAAAAAATAAAGTAAGAAAACAAACGTTAACCAGATTTACGAACGGGAAAGAATTGAGGGTAAAGGAAGTTCATTTTTCCAGAGCCCCGAGTATGAGAATGAAGTCCAAAATATGTGATTATCCTATTCACCCTCTTTAAAAGCGTTCCACGTCATTCTTCCAATGTGCTTTACATATACTTTTCATGGTGTTATTGTTGAGTTCTATGGCTAGGCCAGTCATATTGTATGTGAGTTTTATCATGATTTTTTATGTCATTTAACAACCAGGTACGTAACACTGAATTTTTACCAATTATTCCGACCACCAATAAAAGAATAAGGTCATATAGTTTATGGGACTTAAGATTCTTTTTTGAGGATCGTTTCATTTTGTGCTGTTGTTTAGGGATCATGTATGCAAGTCTAAAAGGCAGTAACTTACTTGTATTAACGTAGCAAAATACAGGTGCGTCATAATGATCCCAACGAAACGTTTGACATTCATAGTAGGAAACTACTTTAAACTGGCTGCTACCGGCTTCACTCAGACTAGCTGCTGTTAGATGCCGTGAAATGATTTGACTTTCGCGTCGCCACGCGTGTATTTATATCCTTTTTATGTTAGGTACTTGAAAACCATAATGATCCCTCTGTTTAACCAAGCAAGCTTCCTTTTTCCTGCTGCGGTTAAATTAATCGTCCAATTTTTTGATCATTGAGTATCAAATTACGTTAAGCCAGCAATTCAGTAAACTGAGCACTGTTCGCAGTTGAAAGAGCTGTCTGCTGGTTAGATACGAACGATTTGAGTCAAATGCAATTATTTTTTTGTGATTTATGTGCAATGTCTCTTTTAACATAGATTAACAAATAATATAATCAGTTTATTTTCATCTTCTACGTATGCTGTCTCACGCGTACGCTAAAACAATTTGTTGAACAATACTTCCAGTATGTTGTCTGAGAGGAAATAGTTAAATGTCGGACGCTCAGTCGCACAAAAGTTCATGAATTTTAGGAAATTGAGAGGAATACTTTTCCGCTAAGAAACACAAACGTAAGTTATTGAAAAGGTTTGATTTCCACGGATACTGGCTTTTGTTTTACTCTGGTAATTTTCGTTTCATGATTTCAATACCAACAATGTCGATCACTTTAGAGCTGGTTTTGACTAACAACGGAGTCGGAGTCGGAGTCGGAGTCGGAGTGGTAATCAGAAGCGTAGAGCTTATGATCTCGTAAAAACAGCGTTCCGTCGCGTGCGTTTTGCTTATGATCTAGAGAGGAAGCAGAAGCGGAAGAACTAAACCAACCACAAAGGGTTGGAACGTGCATTGTGGTTGGTTTATCCTTCCTCTTCTGCTTCCGACTCCGAAAATCTGGTTTTCACTAGATCATATCCAAAACGTAAGCGACGGAGTCGTAAGCACAGTTCTGATTCTTCTGACTCTGATTCCGTCGCGCTTATGACTCCTCCTACGGCTCCGACTTTTTATTTTCACTAGTTCAAAAGCGCTCTTAACGACTCCGCAGAATGACTAAAACCATGATAGCTTTTTGGAGCTGAAACGCCTCAAAGGACTCCTCTTTGCCAAAAATTGAACGCTCTGTCAAAAATATCAATATTTTCAGTATATTTTTCCCCAAAAAAGTAGAAAGTGGAAATTTTCAGGCAAATCTGGTTAAAAGTTACCATGTTCCTTTTAACCAGTTTTGTCGCAAGGAACGTGGAAATTTCCATGTTCCTCACGACAAAGTTGGTTAACTTGAGGAACAGGAAAATTCTTCGCCTAAGCTTGTTAAAAGGAATTGTCGCTAGGAAAATAGAAATCTTCATGTTCCTTCGGATAAGCTTCTTAAAAGGATTTGTCGCAAGGAACGTGGAAATTTCCATGTTCCTTGCGACAAAGCTGGTTAACTTGAGGAACATGAAAATTCTGCTTTCCTTCGCCTAAGCGTGTTAAAAGGAATTGTCGTAAGGAAAATGGAAATTTCCATGTTCCTTCGGATAAGCTTGTTAAAAGGAATTGTCGCAAGGAACATGGAAATTTACATGTTCCTTCGGAGAAGCAGTGTTAAAACGAATTGTCGCAAGGAACATGGAAATTACTTGCCGCTAAGAGAAACAACGCCGTAAAATTTATTGTGTCTTTGAAGCAAAATAATGGAAGCGGCTCACAATAAATCTTATTTAGCTTTGAAAAGAGACCAAATATAAATCTGTACGTTGAATATTAGAAGATTCTAAATTGGTTTATAAGGAGTGTAGCTAAATGTCGTGGGTAGTGGGTAGAGGTCGTGGGTGCAGGAGCCGATTTGCCTAGTCCCTAGGCCTCATTAGCCTGCTTAAGATCCGACGACGGCAGACGTCTGTGACGGCGAGCGGAAGTGAAATTACTACTAGAAAGACTTCCGGCTGCCGTCGTCGCGAAGTTTCCCGCCGTAGCGGCCTTGTCTGTGACGTGAAGAAGGCCATTTTGCCGTCGCGTGTAAAACGTGAGTAAACTTGATCAAAATAATGCCATTTAAACACATTTTGAAATTCTTTAGCACTGTTAACAGTTTATTCTCAGTAGACCATTTTTGTCGAATTTCTAAGCGACTTAAACGATTTGAACACGGTATTTAAATTAAATTTGTTTGCCCTCTCTAAACAGTTTGACTCGTTAATCGCCAT